GGATGTGGAGTGTTAGAGGGATGTGTGGAGTGTTAGAGGGATGTGAAGTGTTAGAGGAATGTGTAGAGTGTTAGAGGGGTGAAGTGTTAGAGGGATATGTGGAGTGTTAGAGGAATGTGGTGTTAGAGGGATGTGTGGGAGGTTAGAGGGGTGTGTGGGTGTTAGAGGGGTGTGTGGAGTGTTTGAGGGGTGTGGGAGGTTAGAGGGGTGTGGGAATGTTAGAAGGGTGTGTGGAGTATTAGACGGGTGTGTGGGAGTTAGAGGGGTGTGGGAGGGTTAGAGGGGTGTGTGGAGGTTACAAGGGTGTGTGTGGAGAGTTACAGGGTGTGTGTGGAGTGTTAGGAGGTGTGTGTGGGAGGTTAGGAGGTGGGAGGTGAGGGCTGTATGGAGTGTTAGAGAGGTGTGTGGAGTTTAGAGGGTGTGAAGTGTTAGAGGGGTGTGTGTGGAGTGTTAGAGGGGTGTGGAGTGTTAGAGGGGTGGAGTGTTAGAGGGGTGTGTGGGAGGTTAGAAGGGTGTGTGGAGTGTTAGAGGGGTGTGTGGAGTTAGAGGGTGTGTGGAGTGTTAGAGGGGTGGTGGAGTGTTAGAGGGGTGTGGGGTGTTAGAGGGGTGTGGGGGTTAGAGGAGTGTGTGGAGTGTTAGAGGGGTGTGTGGAGAGTTAGGAATGTTGTGTCGTATTACACGGCGTGTGGAGGTTAGAGGTTGTGTGGAGAGTTAGAAATGTTATGGTCGTATTCACGGGCGTGTGGAGTGTTAGAGGGGTGGTTGGAGTTAGAGGGTGTGTGGGTGTTAGAGGGTGTGTGAGTGTTAGAGGGGTGTGTGGAGTGTTAAGAGGTGTGTGGAGGTTAGAGGGGTGTGGAGGTTAGAGGGTGTGTGTGTGGAGTGTTAGAGGGTGTGTGGAGTGTTAGAGGGTGTGTGAAGTATTAAGAGTGGCGTGTGGAGGTTAGAGGGGTGTGTGGAGTGTTAGAGGGTGTGGAGTGTTAGAATGGTGTGGAGTGTTAGAATGGTGTGTGGAGTGTTAGAGGGGTGTGTGGAGTGTTAGAGGGGTGTGTGGGTGTTAGAGGGGTGTGTGTGGAGAGTTAGGAATGTTATGTGTCAGAGGCAGTGCGGGAGAAGAGGCCTGAGGCTTGGACAAACAAGACCTGCTCACGAGTCGCCTTATCCTTGACTTTATACATGAGACGCACTATCGTCCCCCAGCCTCTACTCCCGGATTTGGCCCCCGCGACCTTTTTTTAAAAAGTTGAAATCAACCCTGAAAGGTCGCCGATTTCAAACGATAGAAGGGATAGAAGAAAATTGCTACGAGACCTGCACACCAGTCCTCAAACGCGCTCCAAAACTGGAAAAACGTTGGGAGCGGAATCAACAGTGGAGGGAGTACTTTGAAGGAGACAAGTCTGATTAAGTTGTAAGTAGCAATAAATTTGTTTTAAAGAGTTCGGTTTTTTTTGGACACAGACCTCGTATGCACAGTAATAGTTATATACAGAATGTACTGTTAAACTTTCAGTCTGTTTCGGAAGAAAAAATTATAATATATATATATATATATATATATATATATATATATATATATATATATATATATATATATATATGCAATAAAATCACTGTAGGTGGCGTGATCCAGGTATATGCCGATAACCACAAGGAAAAGAAAAACACGGTTCCCAAGTCTTTTCAGTAATTACATCTTCAGGTGAGTACAGACTAAAATATATACGTATAAACACACACAGTATTACCCGCCTACGCTTTACGCTGCTTCCATCGCTATGCACCCTGAGGCCGGAATGCTCACTTTACGCCGTGCGGTACTCATTTATGCAGAGAGCGGCTGGCGGTCATATCGCTGCCACGCCATTTTTGATTC